GAATGGTGAAAGGTAAGGGAATGGTTCCAGAAGCATAAATATAAGGAATTGGATTTTGTTTGTTTGTTGTTAAGACTTGAAAACATGAAGGAGGTGTGTGGAGAGCATTTTAAACACTCAGACGCATGCTCGCATAGTACATCCTTCTCTCTCACACCTCAGTCATCTGACAGGCCGAGTCATCAGACATCATCACCATAATCCAAACATCATTTGTATCATCCAATCACATAGTGTACCAATGTCATAACAGCAACCCACCAGACCCCTTCATGCTCCCCGCCGCCGCCGCCGGGAGCTTGAATTATGCAACGACCCCAGTAGAATGTTGTTCTGATGTGTGAACTAATTTCCTACACTGTATGACTTTTGAACTCTTACGATGCGTGCCTGTGTTCCACCAAGACCCTGTGTGCACATGTGTTTGTGTGTGTGCGCGTGCATGTTTTGTGTGCATGTCCCTTTATGTAATTGAGTGTGCGTGTCGTGCATCTGTCCTCATATGTTTGTTAAGCGTGGAGTACATCCAGACGTATGTACAGTATATACCTATGTTAAGTGTTTGTTATTATGTGAATGAATGTGTGTGTGTGTGTGTGTGTGTGTGTGTGTGCATTTGGGTCTGTTTAGTGCACATATATACAAACGTATGCGTGTGTTTCCCTGAGTGCATGTGTGTGCGTGTGTGTGTGTGTGACAAAGACAGCGAGCACGTGCAGTTGTTGAAAATGTGTGTGTGTGTGTTTGTGTGTGTGCGTGCGCGAATGTGTGTGCATGTCAGGGTGTTTCAAACATGGGGCTGTGTCACCTCGCTCTATGCCCAACCCCTATGGCTCCCACCATCCCCTGTAGCGCCTTATAGTGGCAGCCTGCCAGTAGGAACAATGCAGCCAGTAGTGGAGGAGGGAAGGTGAACAGAGGAACTAGGCTCTTCTTGTCAGTTTTCATTTTCCTCCTGAGACGTGTTTGTTTACTATCTGAAAAATCTATAAACAAAATCTTTAAAGACAAAAAAGACGAAAAAATGTTCACAGGGCCCCATGACCGCGGCTCTATCTACTCTCTCCTGCTTATGTTATTACTTAACAATTATCAATGATTATTATGATTATTATTATGATTATTATTATTATGATTAGTATCTTTATTCTTATTATTAATCCAATTACTGCGATGAATGACTTCATGTTATCCTTGCTAGTTTAGGTCATTTCTGAAACTGGAAACAAAATAAAAATCTTGCTGTAAATGTTTGTTTTTTCTTTTTCATAAAACTGTTGTGTTTGAATTATTTGTACTTTTGAATGTTGGGACAATAAAATGAGGTGTTAAGAGCTTGGATGTTTCTTGTCGTGATGGATGAGACGGGGAAATATGTCACTCTTCACACACTGCACACAATAATGAACATGTTTCTGATAAGACTGAAAAAGTTGTTTGCTTCTCTTTATCTACCTCTCTTTTGTAATGCTGTCAAAACATAAACATTACCGTTCTGACAACTGCAAAGCAGTGAGAGTTTAAACGATGGTATAAAATAAGGACTGATGACTGATGAGACAGATGCAACAGACAACTGGTGGAGAAAACGCACAAAGACAGGAAGTAAAATCACAATATACACAAGAGGAGCAGTTTCAAAATAAAACAGGGAGTCCACTCAGACACTTCACAACATTAATAACAGTAGACTACATGGAACAATATTCAAACTATTGACCTTGACCTAAATAAGATATCACTATGATTGTGATGTTTACATGAGATGATAATAGAATATTCCAGTGTTTCCCACAGAATTTATATGGCGGTGGCGGGGGTGCACATGCACAATCAAGGGACAGGTACACAGAGTAAAGAGTGAACGATTCTCCTCACGTTCTTGTGAGTGAGAACTCCATTCTCTGACACTTGCAGGGACACACAAAACTGCAGCAATTAATAACTTAACAATTTTGATACAATGCAGCCACAGATCAAAACACCTAGTTAAGATCTCTCTTGTTATTGGGAAAAGTGTAAAAAAAAAAAAAGTTTTATCGTGAAACTGTGGTGGGACAAAATAGAATATGGAGGCTTGCCACAGTCTACATAATTAATGGGAAACACTGCATCCCATCCATACTACCCTTTCAATACAACGACTAAGATAGCAATACTATACGTTTTACTGTTCTTTTTGCTAATTCTGTGTATGACTTTATTCAGGTCAAGGTAATCAGAAAATACTGTTTTTATGTGTTATTTAGATTATTGTCGAGGTAATATTGGAATACTGGTGTCCATATAAATGTTTCTACTATGATGGATGATGTGTCAGTAGTTGTGTCAGTAGTGTCCTTAAAGAAAAGTGCTCCTGATATCTTGTATATTCAGTGTACACTGCAGGGGCGTAAATTGTAGATTTGCCAATTAGTCAATTCAGTTGACAGAAAATTGGCGGTAACTTTAGAAAAAGATCAATAGTTGGAGTCATTTATCAAGGAGAAACTGAAGGATGTGACAGTTCCAGCTTCTCAAACATGATGACTCACTGCTTCAACACTTTTTTAATCATTGAAAATGTGATAAATTAGAGTTTTGAAGAAACAATTTGAAGTTTTCATCTTGGCCACTGAGATCTGATATCTTAGTAATGATGTGATGATAAAGAAGATGAAATCAGTTATTTGAAAAAACTCAAAACAAAAATAATCTTTAGTTGCCTTATTTATTGTTTGTATTCCCGTCTCTGAATAAGAAGCAATTATCATTTTATCTGCAGTCTCAGTCAGCCTTCGGAATGGGATGGAAGAGACAAGTGTTTTTATCATTTTCGGCAAAACATCGCAGACCTTTGTGGCAGAATAC